ATGGGTACCGAAAGAATGGGTACAATGCCCAACAACAATTCTTGTTCATTTTGAACAGGACCCGCTGTCGGCGCCGCCGCGGCCTGTGTACATGTGAGACAGAAGGCCGCCTGCCCAACAGCGGCCGCTGTTGGTTTGGGACAACATTTGCTGTTGGGCATGGTACCCATTCTTTCGGTACCCATTTCGGGCGTCCAAAACCAGGGCCCGCGCCAACCTAAACAACGACTCGGTCGAGTTCGTTCAAGGCGGCCTCCTCGACTGGCCGGCGGACGAGGAGCTCGAGGCTAAGCTCGAGGTAACCACTGCCAAGGCGCAGCTGGCCCAGGATATGAGCGCAGCCAAAAGACGGGAGTCTTGGACGCATCCAAGAATCGGCGCAGGCGGCGCACAGATACACTCGGCGGAAAGGTCTGCAGCTTGCCCATGAATCTTCAGAATATGCCTCACCGCCTCAGATGGCAGATGCAGAGCTGGCCGGGTGGAGGAAGGTCTGGCACCTGCATGGCGCGGATAAGCATATTCCGTTTGCGCGTTCTCCGCTCCCCTCCGCCCCCCTTCCAGCCTCCTGCGGTGCATGTTGAGACGTTCGGTCCTGGTCTCTGCGCCCCCTCTTGTTTCTACTGTCTCGTTTCCGTTTGCGCTCTGCTGCGCGCACCATCCATTACGCATCACCTTCCTTTGCCTGCGCCCCCATTGATGGCGTGGTCGTGGGAGTTGAGGGAGAGGAGTTTGGTGGGCCTCCAACACTGGCATTCGCAACGATTACGCGCGCAGTTCTGGGTCAAATTGCAGAGCCTCGCCATTGGTGAGTATTGGTTGTTGCTGAATAGTTTTCTAGCCAGCGTCCCGATCACCGCGCGTCTCGCTCAGAATTCGAGCTCTGGGCGAGCACTGGCCATGCGAATTCCTCATCAGCTTCCTGTCTGCTCCCCCTTTTGCTTCTTGTTTGTTCCTGAAGTGGACGGAGAAAAATTACTCCGCGAGTAGGAAAAGAGACAGAGAGAGAGGGAGAGAGAAAAAAAAGAGAGAAGGAGAGAGAGAGAGAGAGACAGAGAAACAAAAAAAAATGCGTGTCTAATGCGCGCTGGGCTAGCAAAGAGCGACACCGGCCAGGGTTCCGAAGCGGTGGTGGCATTGGGCCAGCAGGAGGACGAGCAGGGGAAGAGGGGAGGAATTAGGCTCGACGCGGCGTGAGGGCCCGTCTGGAGCCATAGCACCGCCTGGGGACCTCCGTGGACCCACGAGCTGAGACGTACCTTCAAAGACTCCGGAGAGCCAGTCTTTGACTTGCTGCCCTGCCTGGCGGCCAGAGGACCACAGCAGCCCACGCCCACCACTTTGGCGGGGGGCTCCCGGTTCTGAGCGGCGCACGGTTGCTCCTTCGACGGCGCGCTTCCTCGGTGGTTTTGCGATGGACAGCGTGACGCTACCACGCCCAATATCAGAGGACGCCCTGGGTTCTCGGGGTGGGGTTCCTCTTCGAGGGTTTCTCGTGGTCGTGATCCTCGAGGACGCGCCGTTTGACAAACATCCTCGCCCGACGCCGCAGCGTGCCCGCGCCTCCGCCTCCTCCTCCTCCTCCTCCTCCTCCTCCTCCTCCTCCTCCGCCTCCTCCTCCTCCTCTTCCTCCTCCTCCTCCTCCGCCTCCTCCTCCTCCTCCTCCTCCTCCGCCTCCTCTTCCTCCTCTTTCTCCTCCTCTTCGGTGGTTTCTTGTGGTCGAGAGCCTCGAGGACGCGCCGCTCGACAAACATCCTCGCCCGACGCGCCTCGGGAGGGGACCTCCCCCGATCCATGGATCTGGCGACCGCGCGCCAAATCCATGGATCGCTAATCCATGTTTGCGCGCCCCCGAGTAACACATGGTAGAGGCTGTGCTACATCGAATGACACCGGAGAAAAACCCAATCATAATCTTTTTAGGGCTGCAGGGCTATAAGGCCAGGGGGCCATAAGGCTATAGGGCTATAGGGCTATAGGGCTACAGGACTATAGGGCTATAGGGCTATAGGGCTATAGGCACCTGGGCACCCGCGCACCCGGGCGTGCCGCCGAAATCGGCGCCAAACCTCACTTAATCATATGATATTGGAGAAAAAACCCAACCATATTTTGTTAGGGCTATGGGGCTATAGGGCTATAAGGCCATGGGGCTATAGGGCTAGGGCTATAGAGCTATCGGGCTATAGGGCTATAGGGCTATAGGGCTATTAGGGCTATTAGGGCTATTGGGCTATAAGGCTATAGGGCTATAAGGCTATAAGGATATAGGGCTACAGGGCTATAGGGCTACCGGGCACCCGGGCACCCGGGTACTTGTGCACCCAGGCGTGCCGCCGAGATCGGTGCCAAAGCTAACCCAACCATATGAATCCGCTAGAACCCCTACAGAGAGCAGTTGCTGGCGCCGTACCAGGCAGCCGACAAGCAACAGGCGCTCTGGCACTCCACGGCCGTGGAGGCGCGATGGCGAAGACATCTATATATATATATATATATATATATATATAGAAGAGAGAGAGAGAGAGAGAGAGAGAGAGAGAGCGTGATCCACCGCCGCTTTACTGTGGAAAATTCCAACCTTTTCCTCCGGAACCCGGGGTCGCCCCCCCCCCCCCCCCTTCCGAAATCCCCCCCCCCCCGCTGGAACCCCTCCCCCCCCCCCCCTCCCCTCCCCCGGCAAAACCCCCCCCCCACAATTACACAATGAATACTACTCTCCCACTTCCCCTGATGGCGTCCGGAAGATGTTCGGCACCCCCCCGCGTACTGTTTTTTTACACACAGGATTCCCCGGAGTTGGGTTTTCGCTTGTGTTTTTTTCTAAAATGCTGCTCTCGCTGAGGCGCTGGCCTAATTTTCGGGCTCCCGCTCCTTCCGAATCGTGTTCCCGCTGCAGCGCTGGCCTCATTTCCGCGCTCCCGCTCGTTCCGAATCGTGCTCCCGCTGCAGCGCTGGCCCAATTTCTGCGCCTCTCGTTGTTCCAAAACGTGCTCCCGCTGCAGCGCCGACGTTTTCGATCCTTTTTAAGAAGCCCCAAATCTAGAAAATGATCCCCGGCAAAAACATTGGAGGTGATTACACATCCGGTGTCGATTCGTTGATTTTTGGGGCCGCAGAAAGCCCCCCCCCCCCTTTTGGACCCCGTGAGGGGTCCACGGGCCCAGTGTGAGCCGACTGTCCAGGGAAGCCAGACCATCGAGCCTGGCAGCCCTCCATCCTCTTCTCTGACATCTGTCCTCGCCCGCTGCCGCTTCCCTCGCCGCCGCCGCCGTCGTCGTCTGCGTCTTTGTCGCGATTGGCAATTTCTACCTCTACCATTACTCAATATGAATGCACCTGCATCGTCGTCTGCGTCTTTGTCGCGATTGGCAATTTCTACCTCTACCATTACTCAATATGAATGCACTTGCACAACTCTGACATCGGACCCACTCTACCATTACCCAATATGAATGCTACTCTCCTTTCACCCCTGCAGAAATTTGAGATCCGGGTGGGGGACGCGCGTAACGGCAGCGGGCAGCTGGCGCGGGTGCCGCTCCGGCGCGGTCGCGTCGTCGTCGTCGTCGTCTTCGTCGCCGGTCGTCCTCATCGTCGTCGTCGTCGTCGTCGCCGCCGTCGTCGTCGTCGTCGTGGTTGTCGTCGTCGTCGTCGTCTTCGTCGTCGTCGTCTTCGTTTTCATCGCGCCGTCGTCCTCCTCCTTTCCCTCTTAGGTAACAGGGTCAGATGCGAAGCCCGATTCGGTGAGAGGACAATGAAGTAGCTCAATGGGAAGGGATGGGAGGGAGGGGTAGGATGTCAGATGTTGACGCGAGCGCACCTAACTTGCCTAACCCCCTCCCCCCCCCCCCCCCCCCCTCCCGCTCGAAAACCGTGGGGGGGTCCACTACCGGTTCGAAACCCCTCCCCCCCCCCCCCCCCTCCAGATCCGGAAAACCGGGGGGTCACTACCGGTTCGAACCCCCCCCCCCCCCCCCCCCCCCCTACTCACCGCCAGCAAACGACTCCCGGTCCCCACCACCGTCCGCATCACATCCCCCACTGGTGTTCCCAGCACCACTGTCCTCACCACCGCTGTCCCCACTGGTTCCACCACCGCCCCTACTGTCCCCACCAGTGGCCCCACCACTGTCGCACTGTCCCCGCTGTCCCCAGAACTGTTCCCACCACGGTTCCACTCTCCCCACTGTCTCCACGGCCCCAACCACTGCCCGACTATCCCCACTGTCCCCACTGTCCCACTGACTCCTCCGCTGTCCCACTGAGCTGTCCCACTGTTCCCACCACTGTCCCCACTGTCCCCACCACTGTCCCCACTGTACCTCTGTCCCATTGTCCCACCGCCGTCCTCGCCACCGCCTTCACCACTGTCCCCACCACCATTGTACCCTCCACTGTCCCACTGTTTCCACCTCATTCCCATTGTCCCCACACCACTGTCCCCACCACCACCGTCACCACCACTGTCCACTGTCCCCCCTGTTCCCACCATTGTCCCCACCACTGTCCCCACCACTACCGTCCCCACCACTGTCCCACTGTCCCACTGTCCCCACCACTGTCCCGCTATCCCCTCACCACTGTCCCCACCAACACCGTCCCCACCACTGTCCGCACCCCCACTCGGTTTTCGAGGGGGGGGGGGGGTTCGAACCGGTAGTGACCCCCCCCGTTTTCGGATGAGGGGGGGGGGGGGAGGGTTCGAACCGGTAGTGACCCCCCCCGGTTTTCATGATGAGTGGGGGGGGGGGGGAGGGGTTCGAACCGGTAGTGACCCCCCCCGGTTTTCCGGGGAGGGGGGGGGGGGGGAGGGTTCGAAACGTAGTGACCCCCCCCGGTTTTCCGCCAGCAGCGGTAAACACGCTCTTTCCATATATAATATATTATATATATACATACATACATATATATATTATATATAATTATATATAACACATATATATATATATATATATATATATATATATATATACGTGTGCGTATGTATCAAGCCGCAGCCCCTGTTGGCCGAGCCTTCCACTATTCTATTAAACATTTACCTGGCACAAAACAAGCTTCACCCGAGCGTCCTCAGCTTCTCCTGCCGAGCCATGGGCTTTGGACGTGCGGGCGTCGTGGCGGCGCTGGCGAGTTCCGCGGTTTCTCTCGCGGTGCACAATGATCAGGTTGGCACAGCCAGCGTGGCCACGCGGGGGAATGAGACCAGGTCGACGCAGTTCATCAAAGCCACCATGGTGTTTGGACTGAACTGTGGCTACGCGACCCTGGCTGACGTGAACTTCCTGTCGTCAGGCGGAGCCAGCATCGACATCAAGCTGGCCAACTACCAGGACGACCATCGCGGCTCGGCATGGGGAGCCTGCACCCTGGTGGACGGCAACTCTAATTGCTGGTGGGAGGGCTACGGGTCGGTGGCCCCAGTGTACACGGTGCACGACCCCCTGACCTCCAGAGACGCAAGGTTCATGGACTGCGTTGGCCCCGAGCCCTCGCCCATGGAGATTCGGACCCTCACGGTGCAAGGGCAGCAGCACCCTTGTCAGTGCACTGGCGGCTACTACAAGGGATACCCGTGCCAGGCTTCCAATGCTGCGGGTAACCAGTGCCATTGGTTCATCTTTGAAGTGGAGGGGGGTGACACCGTGGCGAGCGTCGACGTGACCGCGAACGGTTGCGGCTACAACTCGGGACTGAACTACGCGGAGTTCACCCCGTGCTCGTCAGCAGACGTTATTCGAGGGGCTCACGTCATCCCGCTGGCCCCCGAAGGAAAGGCCCATCGGGTGACCAATGCAGGGGACGGCGCAGGAGGAGAAGGAGGCAGAAAAGAGGGGCAGGAGGCGTGAGGGAGCGTTGGAGGTGATCGAAGGTGGAGTAGGGGAAGCCAGCAAGCATGGCGCACGGATTGGTTGATGCATGGTCATTCAGAGAAGACCAGTTCAGCCTTCGACGGGGCATTCGTTGCAATCCTCCAGTCGAGGTTCAAAACCACAGTGGTGTGCGCGTAGCCCGGTACCTGTCTCGAAACGTGATTCGGGGTTTCGTGGGCTCTCGTAGGTCCATCATGGGCGTTCCTGGAGCTCTCCTGCGGCCTTCGGGGGCCAGCTTGGTGTCATTGGGGGCCTCTGTCGGCTGTCTGGGAAGGTCCCATGGGGCCGTCCGGGGGAGCCATGGGCCGTCTTGGGCTGGTCCTGGGTCGTCGTGGAGAGCCGTTGGGGGGGCAGTTTGGGAGAACAGCGGGGGGCGTCTTGGGACCGTCCTGGGGACCTCCTGGGCGTTGCTCGGGTCGTCGCGGAATCCCAGGCAGGTTTCTTGGATGTCCCCCGAGACGTCCAGGGTTTGCCTTGGCCACAAGCTGCAGCGAAAGCCGGGGGCATGCAGAAGCCGCGCGAGAAGGAATGCGATTTCCATATGCTGTTGCTCTTGGGGTTACCTCCGCAGGGCTATGCTGGAGCCTCTGATGGGATCAAGGGGCCATCTTTGTGCCATCTCAAAGTCTCTTCAAGCCATCCTGCAGCCAACTTTGGATACCCTGGTCCACCTTGAGGCTACTATTGTCCCCCGCCCCACAGCTTGGGGCTGCTAGGTTTGAAGGGCAGACCTCCCGACCCGCCCTCCCTGCATGCCGCGGCCGCCAGATCCCCAGGTCCACGGGTGCTCCCGCGGGGATCCCTTTCTGGGCCGCCACCTACCGCGGCCGCCAGATCCCCAGCACCGCCTGTGGTCCCGCGGGGATCCCACTGTGGGCCGCCACATACCGCGCCCGCCAGATCCCCAGAACCACTGGGGAGCCCCGCGGGGGTCCTCTTCTGGGCCGGCACCTGATAAAACAAAGCAGGTCGAAACAGAAGGGAACATGATCAGAACAGAACGTTGCAGGATTGAACATAGCTGGGTAAATCCTATCGTGTACAAGAACAGACAGGAACAATTGAGCGCATAGTATAATAAAACGCATGGTACCAGAGAAAAACCCAATCATAATCTTTACAGGGCTGTAGGGCTACAGCGCTACAGGGCTCTTGGGCGCTATATGGGCTATATGGCTATATGAGTTATAGGGCTATAGCGCTATAAGGCGATAGGGACACAGGGCTATAAGGCTATAGGGCTACAGGACACCCGGCACCCGGCACCCGGCACCCGGCACCCGGGCACCCGGGCACCGAGCACCCGTCACCCGGGCACCCGGGCACCCGGGCATCCGGGCACCCGGGCCCGGCCACCGAATCGGCGGCGAACCCAGGCACCTGGGCACCCGGGTACCCGGGCCCGGCCACCGAATCGGCGGCACACCTCACCTACCCTTAAATCCGCTAGGACCCCTACAGAGGCAAGCTCTGATCGGGGAAATAGTACGCAACATAACGCAAAATATCATAACAACAGATAGCAGCCTAGATCATAACATAGTTGCGTAATGTAGCATTTGAGAAGCCAGAGCAAAACATAATACAAGAACGTAGCATAAGAGAACATATCATTAGATACGATACAAAATATGTATATATATATATATATATATATATATATATACATACATACATACATACATACATACATACATACATACATAGATGGAAAACATCGCAACATAACGCGTCGCGATATGATGTGTATGCCAGCACCGAAGGGCTAAGAAATTGCAAAACATTATTGGCAATGTATTACACGCGACAGGCGTCACGATGTCACGACGCCCCGTCGAGAAAAGAGCATAGCATAACGCATAAATCAATTTGGCAGAACGGGACATAACAACACAGTATAATCCAATAGTTATATGAGCAGATCCTGATGCGACAGCAAGCGCTTCGCGTCCACCCTTCATCACATGCCAGTCGTTACGACGCGACGCTGGCCCTGCATTCGGTGGGGATCGCTCGACACAGGGTTTTGGTTGGCGGGTGCGTGGGGAGGCCGCGCGCCATTGTGGAGAAGCCACTGGGCCCCGGATGTGCTGTAACGAGTTCGTCCTGCTCCCCCCTCGAGACCCTGGGCGAGGGTGCTCCCAGCAGGGGCACAAGCAGAAAATGCGCACCAGTCTTCTACACGAGGCCTGGCGCCATCGTCATTGCCGTACCAGACATGTCCACGAGTCCCCAAGCAATGATCGCACGAAGGGGCTCCCGCCATCGTTGCAAGGAATCGGTTGGGAGTTTTTTGGGGGACGCGACCTTCTGCGCGGAGCACAGCGAAAAACAGGTCGCGGACGCCTCCGCGCTGTTGGAGGCTTTGGGGGGCGCCCGAAAACGCGCAAGCCGCGCTGCACCTCCTGCGGCAGTGTGCCTCCTTCTGCAGGCTGAGCTACTCAGCGCGGGTGGTTCCGCCCACCGTGCACACCGCCTCCCTGCTGGCCATGAACGACGCTGTCCGGGCCTGCCTAGAGCAACTGAGCGGCTGCTCACCCTTTGACGGCTCCTCGGCTCCTGGCGGCAGGCTCAGCGCAAGCTGGACAAGGGAGGGTTCGGCCTGCGCTCTGCCGCAAAGCACGCTGCCGCCGCTTACGTCACCTCCCGAACGAAAAGCACGGACCTCTGTCGGCAGTTCTACCTTGGTTATTCTAACAGCGCCGACCGCGACGCGGGTTACCTGGCAGCTGCGGCGCAGGCCCACAACGCAGTCGTGCGGGACGCCGACAGGGTGGAGTTTGTCCCGTCGCGGCACGGCAACCAGAAGGCCTTCTCCGACGCTGTGGACGACGCCGAGCTCGACGTGCTTGTGGAGGGCGCAACTCTGGCCGGCAAGGCGCACCTATCCCTGGTGCAGGCCCCAGGCGCCGCCGCGTGGCTCCAGGCGCCGCCCTGCGAGGCTACTGGCACCGCCTTCCCGCACAGCCGCACGCAAGTCGGGTTACAGAGGCGCCTGCGGGTCCAGCTCCTGCAGGAGTGTTTTTGCCCAGCCAGTGGAGAGGCGATGGACGTTTTCGGCGGCCACGCCCTGGTCTGCGCCTGTGGGCGACAAAGGCCGCCGCCCCGCCGACGTCTACCTGCCACGATGGCGCAACGGCACGGCGGCCGCCTGGGACTTTGCCGCCACGTCCGGGTTGCGCGCCGATCACCTCGCCGCGTCGGCCGCCTCATCGAGCGCGCCGACGGACAGGCACGAGGAGTTCAAAAGGCTGCACTTGGACACCGCGCGGCTGTGCGCGGAGCAGGGCTCCACTTTCCTCCCCATGGCGGTGGAAGCCCACGACGGCGGGTGGGGCCGCGAGGCGCGCAGGGCCTTCGGGGTCCTGGCCAAGCGGGTGGCTGACGCCACGGGGGAAGACGCGGCAATTGCAGCAGACCGACATGTCCAGCGACTCTCCATCTCCCTGCACAGGGAGAACGCGCGGGCGGTGTTGCGGCGCCTCCAGATCCAGTCTAGAGGGGCGGGGGTGGCTGCGGCCCGCGAAGCCGCTGCCACAGCTGCTTCCACGGCTGACGCCGTGTGAGCCGCCACGATGGCGCAGCCTAGCGCCCCCCGCCCTCCCCCTCCACCTGGTTGGGCAGCGCGGGCGCCCCCCCCGCGCCCCTCCGTGGGTGGCGCGCTGGCGCCCCCCCACACTGAAGGCCGTCCCTTCCTCGGCGGGGCGGTGGGTGATACCGCAGAGGTTCCCTCCCCACCAAGCCGCAGCGTGCTGTGTTCGGCCGGCACCCCACGCCCTTCCTGACGCCCTCCCGACGCCCTTCCCGACGCCCACAACGATCCCGACGACCACGACGTCCTTCCCGACGCCCACAACGACCCCGACGCCCTTCCCGATGCCCACAACGATCCCGACGCCCTTCCCGACCGACGCCCACAACGGCTCCTGACGCCCATCACGACCGCTTCCTGTCGCCGCCGTAGGGTCCGTAGTTTCGTCGCGGGCGGCCCTTCCTTCCCGGCCCCTGGCCGGGCCCTTTTGCTGCCCCTCCTCCTCGTCTTTTTCCTCCTCCCCTCCCTGCTTGCTGTCCCGTCTCCGCCCCTGCCCGCCTGCCTGCCTGCCTCGTCCCGCCGGCCCTGGCCTCCCGCCTGCGCGTTCGTCTTCGTTTGCTCGTCCCTCCTTTCCTCCGTCTCTCTGCGCTCCGTCCGAACTAGGGGTTCGATCGTCCGCAAGTGGGGGGCCCCGTGGGAGTTTTTTGCGCTGCCTGGGAGCTCGGGGTTCTCTCTCCACCCCGTCGCCCCCCCAGGGCGCCTCGCGGGCGCCAGCTCTGCGTGGCCTGGGAACTCTTCCTCTTG